TACAAAAACCCAATTTGTTGGCAATGTACACTTAATCACTACTATTAATTTTGAGTTAAAATAGATTAATTGTCTTAATTGTTTTCAAATTGTCTTTATGACTTTCTGGTAATTTTGTATAAATATGAATTTTTCAGAGCTATCAGTAGTAATATTTATTTATTGTTTTGTGATGTTAGGTGCTGAACCGTTATGAAGACTTCAAGCAGGAGGCGCGCGCCAAGCGCGAGAAGCTGGAAGACTCGCGCCGCTTCCAGTACTTCAAGCGCGATGCTGATGAGCTCGAGTCCTGGATTCAGGAGAAGCTGCAAGCCGCTAGCGATGAGAGCTACAAAGATCCCACCAACCTGCAGGTAAGACCTTGGAAGACAACCTCTTATTTTATCTTTAATTTTGAACCATTTCATTAAAAATTCTCCATTTATTTAGTGACATCAAGAAAAAAAGAACATTTTACTCCAAAAAAGAAATACGTAAAATGTATGACTTGAATGGTCTTTCTTTATCAAGGCATATTGTCTCTTGAATTAGACATTAACTAATAAATTTAATATGACCATGTGAGCATATTTTACGTGACCTCGCATGGTCGTCCATTTTACCATCGTACCATTATTGCGTGCTATTATGTTTGCGATTATAAATTGTACATATACATTGTAAACTATGTACAATGCAAATGACTGATACGTAATTCTTTTCACTTAAAATGTACGTAAAATAGTGAAAGAATTTCCGACCATCAGGCTTTAAATATCTAACAAAGCAAATGTAGCTTCGATTTTAATATCCGAATGAATCATTACAAATGCGCTTAAGTTCATAATCTTATCTTGAACTCGTCAATAGAATAGGAAGCGCCGCATTGCGACTGTGAAAACTAGGGCACGTATCCCGTTAGTTCCAGTCGCGTTGCTTACGGACGTTATGCCAAATGGGAAGCTAACAAACACGTCCTGTCTCTCGGCCGAATTATGACATTGACTACATAGTCCATTCATGAAATTACTTAGATCAATAAATCTGTTCATTTACGACTGATATTAAGCGTAATTGAACCGTAAAGTATTTGGTGAAAACATAAAAAATGGTGACTAAGAAATCTGGGTTAATATGTCATATTTATTATACAAAGTAGTTGATATAAAAATATTATATTTGTAATACTATCATTTCCTCAAAGGCCGGCAACGCATCTGTAGTTCCTCTGGTTTTGCGGATGTCCATGGGCGTCGTTGACCACCTTGGTGTTCACGCCGCTCGTTTGCCCCCTTTTACTAAAAAAAAAAATCTTTTTTAATACATTTTATAGTAAATCTAATAGTCAAAGTCAAACTAGGCATTAAAAATAATTGAGGGTTATTAATAATATTGAAAAACATTTGCGTAATCTTTAACTATTCAAGTAATTCGAAGCTAATGTTATACGTAACATAAACTATTGTTCCTAGAAGAACAATGGTTATATTTTGAAAGGTAGTAACTTAGACATATCAATGAACTTTTAGACAAAACAATAGTTTAATATTGTAATAAATGTTCAATCGTACTTATCTCATGCTAAATGTACACTAAGGGGAGTCCTCAGTGGTTGTTAGACCCTTATCTCTGAACTGTAGGTAACATAATTCTTACTGTATACTTTGTAGGCCAAGATCCAGAAACACCAAGCATTCGAGGCGGAGGTGGCAGCGCATTCTAACGCTATTGTGGTCCTCGACAACACGGGCAGTGAGATGATAGCAGCCAACCACTTTG